ACCTATAATATAAAACCAAACTCAATTAAGGCAGATCTCCCGTCACCCTCCTTCCGGCATCATCTCTACCAAAATTATCCACCTATCAAGAACACAACCACGTCACGAAAATCATGGTTCTTAAACAAAAATGAATGACAGCCGTGGCCCGCTTCATGTGCCCATTGTTGTACCCTGGTTCCCTCTTCTTCCCTTTCCATTGGCTCTGCCTTCTAATTTTGCCCAGTTAACATGGTTCGATGACTATAAACCGATCATATCGATCTTCGTGCTTTTGCCCTCCAATCATCGATCGGTGCGTTATTTCACTCTGCACGGCCGCCTCGATGGTGGCATGATGATGAAGGGCCCTTTTCCGGAACCTTCATGGATAGGGCCAAATCCTATTAGCCACCCTCATTTTAGATTTCGCAAAACTGTAACAACTCGAGTTCGGCATCGGTACAGCACAGACTGCTACTCATTTCGATAGTATCGCCTGGATCGCCATTTGGGATCGTCTCTGCACCCTTTTTAAAACACTGACACGACCATCAGCGAGCACCTATCACTATTCATCAGAGGGGCCCACTGCCCCAAGCCCAGTCCCTCAAACGAAAAAAAATGACCTGCGATGGGGACTGATGTTCGTGAGAAGAGAGGCTCTGTAAAGCCGACGCAAATGAAGCAGATCCCCAAAAACTCTCAAACTGAGTAGTGCCATCCTTGCAGTGGCGTTCACAGGAAGAAACTTGAAGGAAGTCAACATGCGACTAACACGCGATCTCTACCAACGACAACTTCGATTTTTCTTTCTCCTCCCAAAGTCCCCCCTTTTTATCACCGCGCATGCACGCGCGCACGCACACACACGCACTATTAGATCGACGAAACCTTGGCAAGACCTTCTCACTCAAGGCAATAGACGGTGACGGAAACGGGCAAAATCTAGTCATTAGCCAGAGTAGGTGTCATAATCCACGCCTCCCTGTTCTCTCGTCAGAGCTCCAACCTCCTGTCAATAAGAGGTAATAAGTAATGGCCGGGCGAAGGGTAAAGAAGCCCTTACACGAAGTTGCTCCCAAAGAACTTGACCTTCTCTCTCTCGCCAAGATAAGAACAGGGCAAATCCCCGCGTCGCCGAGGTGGTAAAGAGACTCACCTTTAATGAATACGTATCTCTTGTAGCCGCCATCGATAAGCTAATAGGAAAAGGTATTGGCACCGTATCGATAAAAACTCCATTTCCGACTTCATAAGTGCGTATATGCATATGGGAAACGAGGGCAGTGATTTGGGCGGTGATTTGGGTATGGTCGATGCGCTCTAGACAGTGATTCATGTCGATACGTTTTGCTTGATGGCATTGATAGCCTGTTGGTTAGAAATCAGATGGGCATAATGATGGTCGATGGAGCGGGTATCTCATAATCTCGTACTGTATGCACTGGCCCCCCCTACTCTGATTCGTCACAACCGATAATCAGGGAAAGACAGGCATCCTTCCCAAGTTTTTTTTAACGTTCAAGCCCCCATCTTGCCTCGAACCATATCACCCATCGTCCTTTTCCTCTTGGACCGAACACCTTTCCATATACTCATAAGCGGGCCAGCCCCTCCGAAGTGGCATCATGGCCGCCTTCCAGGGATCCGCTATTTGCCTTTCGCAGAACCCGCACCCCTCCTTCCTCTTCTCCCGGGGCTGGAACACGAGTAGTAGTAGTCATAGTCGCAGGCCGCCCTCACACCACGTGCCATCGCCTTCTCAGAATCCATCCGCACGCCGTATCGATGCCCTTTTACTCAATCGGATCTACAAAGCACGAGAACAAGTGAATGACTAGAGAGGGAAGAAGGATCGTTCTACTAGTAAGAGTGCTTACCACCGGCCGTCGCACAGTGTTGCACCCCCCATTTTGAAACCCGATGTGACAATAACAATAGGAGGCCATGACATCGATGTGGGCATCCCACTGCCGAATTCGTTTGTTTGGGACTAGTCACCGGCCCATAGTACCTCGCGACTGAATCACATTGAATCGTCTCGAAGAGACTATAATAGGGGTTGATGCGTGATGCAGAACTTGACTTGAACAATAAGAGGGTGGGTGGTTAGCCTGAGTGGGTTTGTATTTGCGTTAGCGTCCCTTCTCTCGATCAAGCAAGCACCTTCGCGCTTTCCATTGCCATCACCCCCGACAAAGGGAAAGGCGGCCGTGGCAAGGTTTTCATGAGGAAGCCTGAGAGATGCGCGAACACACGCGCGCGAGAACTAGTAGGAATTGAAAGCTTGTGCACGAAGTAGGTAATGATTTGCTCGACAATCAGGCCGGCCTCAGGGTCCCCACCCTTCCCCCCTTTTTGTTGCTTCTGGTGACTGTTACTTATTCGCTTTGTGTGTTTTTTTCTATTTTGCGACTCCGCGATGTGGCAAAAAAAAAAAAAACTCGAGTTTTTAGTGCACGTTTGAAGCCGCTCGTCATCGTGAGCCTGCAAACTCACTTTACGAGTTGAGCAGATGCATCTTTGATTCCTCTCGACTTCCAGCAATTGAACTGGGCGTGGCCGCCATCACCATCATGATCGATGATGGAGTCCACGATAACTAAAAGTAGGCCGCGTTGCCATTTTTCACCAAATACAATTTAACTCCTATCATTTAAGCTTTCGCAAGAGGTACTGAACCATGGTTCACCCGGAACGCGAGTTTTCTCTTTCGACGCAGATGGTTTAATGGATTTTTTTTCAGACGCTGGAAGCGAACCCCGAACTCGGACTCGGATTCCCTTGGAGCCAGTCTTACTATTTACTTTACTTTACTTTACTTTTCTTCCACAGCAAGCTTTGTTACGACAGGTCACCCGAGGGGCACGCACAGGATCAAACGAGAGAGCCACACGAGCCTGTCAACACTTGCCACGCCACCACGATCGCCATCAACATCGTGCTCGCATTCGAACGGGAGAGGGAGCTCAGCGATGCGGACGCCGCCGAAACTCTCGTCTAGTCGCTGGGGCACGGATCGCGGGTTGGAAAGTTAAGCTTGCGGCTAGCAGGTATCGGGGATGGGCTCTCAGGTTTGAGGTTTGCGGTTTGCGAGTCTACTGGTATGTTGGGCGCACTGCATTGAATAAGTGCTTCCGCTCTTCGCTTGGGGACCTTTGATTATGACGTCGAGCATTGGATTGGTGGCCCTCAAGATCGCTTGCAATACTCATATTTGGCCTCGCCTGTATAAATTGCGTTCCTCATCACTGTCCAATAATAAAATAGTAATGATAGCAAGTCACGGAGGACGAGGCGGGGCTCTCCCGCTTGTCGTACTCAGACGGGTTGAAATGACCACCAGGTTGCGTCCCGTTGAAGTTCGTGCATTGTGGGATGGAGTCGGCAACGCAAAGATGATTATCAATACGAAAGTCGTCCGAGTCGCACCCCGCTCGCCGCTCACTATCTCACCCTCGCCGCTTCTGATACGGCAATAGTGTAACAGCAAGCGACTCAATGGAATGCCCAAAGCGGACTGACGCTATGCCTGAAAATCATCCGTATATGGATATCCCGTGCGGGCGGATAAAATGAAAAAGGGGACGGAAAGGGAAAGGTAAGCGGGGGATTTGGACGGGCATGGCGGCAATGAGCACCGGATATGGCGAGAAAAGGGCGAAAAGACGATAGGCAGTGACGAATCACGAGGTGGAGTATGAGAGAGAAACCGAAAAGGCAATCGAAAGACTGCAAGTGCTCAGATAAACCGTGAACCGATCCGAGTCTCCATTAATCCATTGGGAAGCCGGCGGCCGGGCGCTTTTTCATGGAGTTGATCAAGAAGGGGTGACGTGATTGAAAGGCGAATCAGCGGCCGGCATTGTCTTTATTCACCGTGGCCTCGCAACGCATGGCTTATCCAAGGCGAGAGTCGTGATAGTCGCTGCTTGGGATGGCATGATCTCTGTGATGCTCTCTCTGTTCGCGCCCATGCACAGCTCGCTCCTCCGCATCTCGTATGTGATGTCGGTGCAACACCATGGACAGTGATGATCTTCACCTCGAATGGAGATGCAGATAGCTATGCTCTATTTTTGGGCGTAGGATTTGCTCTCAATTGCACCCGTGTACCCTTGTCTCGTTTCTGGCTCCTTGTATTCAGAATCCCCACCTTTCGATCCACGGCGCGGCCTTACAATATTCCTCTGTTACTTCATCCGCCGATCTCTTCGTCCTGTCTGGTCCAGGCTAAACAATCCATCTTTCTAGTGGTAGATATTCTTACTATCGCCACAGCAATGTCCCACAAGCCCATCTGTCACTGCTGCACAGCGGCAGAGCTAATCTGAACATCCTCATCACCCTGACATGCTTTCTTCTCCTCGGCATACCGTACATAGTACGTATGTACCCCTCAGTGTTCCACATGCTCTCCACTCGTGCTGATCCTAATCAGACCTCTGCTTATCCCTGCTACTCGGCTTGCTGGGATCGTCCAACTGTACCTTGCGCACGCCACAAAACAACCTATGTGTCCACCAGGTTCTATTCGAGCATTCACCTCAGCTCATCTCAGCTCGTCCATGACCACTGCCCGCCATTCAGCCTATCGCAACGGTGTACATCCCACGACCGTCGCAGGCCATCTCATCTGTAGTGGTTTATCAGTCACACCGTGCCTTGCTTTTAAAAACAAATTATGTGTAAAGATCTGACACCAGATGACGGTCCCTGCGCAAGAGCAAAACCTAATGCTCGCCAGTGGCGGAAATACTTGCGTCGATCGAATGGTTGTACCTTCAGCCATGTAAATTGAGTAAATCATCCCAGTATCGTCGTCGTCGTCGGTGTCAGTTGAGTGCAGGCAGGCAAGGCTGTTGGCTCGTTGCTGTCACCAATCTGTCGAAAACTGTCAGCGAAGTGGTGATCAAAAAAAGTCACATCGCATTCCCATCATTACATATCGTGATGATGCCGCAGGCCCGATCTCAACGTCAGTTGTCCATTCCGTTAGTTGATCACTCGTTCTGGTGGAAATGCAAGTCCTTCTTGAGATATATTGTATCCTGTTCTAGTAGTTTGGATCCTGTGGAGCGGGCCGAGCTTGTAAGCTTAGCTTTTGGGATATACAGTTACAGGCAACCGTTCTTCCGACTCGGGTTGCGAGCCAAGAGCAACTTCCCCGCTCCCTTTTGTTTTTCATTGATCCCATCCGAGGCTATACTGCCTCGCTCATCCCGTTTGTGCAACGTTCGTCGCAGTAGCCTATACAATGTACGAGGACCAGGGCACTTTGCTTTTGCCCCTAACTGACGCCTATACACCCTTATCGACCTGAGATGGGCGCAATAAGAAATACATCAGGTGCTTGAGTAGAGCGGCCTATAGACGTGGACATTACAGCAAGCACCGCGGCGATTAGATATCCCTTGCCATGATTCCGTGGAGTCGACGTTGGAGAACGAAGTTATAATAATATACTGTATATATAGAGAACAGTCAGTCCAGAGCAGCCTAGGCAGCTACAGGAAGAGACGAGAAATAAAGACGTATCAGGAACAATTGTCGGACGGTACTCAGGGGCTTCTAGGTCCGTGAGAGCTTCCTCTGGTTCTTGATGTTTTCTTGTTTCTCGTTCGAGGATTCAATATGCTTGATTTGCTAGCAGTTCCGTTGTAGATAGGGGGTGATCACAGAATTTGTTATGTCGTCGAGAAACGAACGTATGATCTGTGGCGGATTAGCGCTTATATGCAGCACGAGGTGCAAGTTCGAGGACGTTACTGATCATCGTTTGCGCTGCGGCTCGCATGTGCGCAATTTTGTAGAGGCGCGTTAGTCACCAGCGCTCTCCGGCTTCAGAGAGAGCATTCTGCCACCCATATTAGGTACTGATCAGACCATCGTAATCGAAAGTTCATGATACCGTCGTCAACGTTTTACACTATCCAAACGGCTGTGACGGATTAACCACCATGTCAGACTACATGAGTGCGTTATTCAAAAAAACAATATAGCGCTCACAGATCGTCAATGGCCAAGGATAACCAACGTAGAATCTACATGCGTGAAACGCATGTTCCAGGTCCTTTGTGTTTCACCCCCGCTTATCTGAGAGCACCTTTTGCCTGATTCAGTATGAGCGCGTTTGAATCATGTTGATGAATCTTACTTCGCATAGAGTTTGGAGAGTGTGTGGCGGATTAGCTATTTTTTTTTTGGCGGTGAACCTATCTAAAGTTATCACCCATACCAAAACGCCGACTGACTGGTCCTCACTTCTCAGCGCCCGACAACTTTTGGAAAGATCCCCGTCCTACACCCGGGCATCACCATTGACGTCCAGTTCTCCGTTAGTTTCCCTCTTCGTCCGAATGCGTTCCTCCGTCAAGATAAGAGCCATCGTAATGAGCCTGAGAGTCTCAGCAAATTTCGAATATGCCCAAAATACGCAAGTCGAGCCCAACACAGCCGGAATCTGACGCCCAAAGAGGGACAGGGGGAGAACAGTGAGTTAATGCTACGTCCATACAGTGGTGGTGGTAGGTCTATCGTACACATTTGTTCATATTGGTTTGGCATTGCAACGCTTACGAACTAGAAGGCGATAAGTATCCACTACCAAATAAGCATTAACACTCACGGGTGCGAGTATCGGACTGAGTCCAGATATGGATTAACGCAGCACTACTGGGTGCATGTATGTATGTTGAGATGCATGCTTGCAGCGCGCCCTGCGGCAGTGTGGTACTGATGGAAGGCAGCTTGATGAGGCATCGTGATTAATGATGGTCTAAATTAGAAAAGTGCTTGTTCTTGCTCAGATAAACATGCGTGACCTTTCGAGTCAGGTTGACCAACGAATCACATGTGTTGAACCATAGCTGCAACTGTCTTTAGCTTGCCCCATCCATCTGTCGACTGCCACATCAGACAGATAGGATAGCTACCAAAACAACACCGACTCTCGCTGCTCCAAACGACTTTAAGCGCGGCGATCCCCTTTTCGCGACCTCCAATGGGGATACCACAAAAGCCTCCTGATAGGTATCATGAAGAAATTCGAGAGAAAGGGATATTGATGAGTTACAGTGCCTCTTGCTTTACGTTTTCTTCGGAGAAACTTGAACATCTTCCTTGCACCGCACTCTACTTCCTCGGTAAATAAACAATTACCTTGCGCTGTACTCCACATCTGACAAGGCTGATTAATGATGTTTGTGTGTAGAACTTGACGCGCAGATACCCATTTTTAATAGGACGGATAGACGAATCGAAGATGGGGAGAATTGGAATAGGTACGATCGCCTCAGTCTGTTCGCCACAGCCCTGACCCACGGGCGAGAACCGAGGCCCACCTCTCTCAGAGTCTCGAGGTGCAAGGGCAGTAGCACTTAATGTGACTCATCGACTGTTGATAACCAAGGCAGTGTCCATATACCGAGCGTCGAATGAGATTTGAAGTTGTTCGACTGACGCTCCATTGATGATGCATTAGATTAACGAAGATGGAGGGCTGTGAACACATCGGGGGATTGAATGCCGAAGTGTGAATATGATGTTCCGAACTATCAACAGAGTATCAATGCCATTGCCCCTCCCCCAAATCCTGCCCTGGAGACTCGGCCACCTGTGTATGATATGATACGAGTGATAGATGCGAAAAAGACGAAAAGGGTGGGATAATACTTTGAAACAATATTATTGACAAAGACCTTGGTGAATGGCATGGAGACAGGATAAGCTCGGGCTGCAAACTAAAAGACCACACACTATCGCCACCAATGTCCAGTGACATCGGGGCCCAGGATCAAACAAAACACTGCAAGCCCCAATAAAGCGATGAAAACCAAAACCAAAGACTGGTTGATCTATGTCCAGCAATGTCATCATGTAAAACCACGATATTGACGACGCCGACAAAGTTTGCGAGCAGGTCGGTCTTTGGTGTTGTTTGCAACCACACTCCCGCGGATGCTTTACTCCATTCTAAGAACGAGTGGTACGGTCCCGACGGCTCTCCGTCGCTGTATTACTGCTATCAACCAAAGAACAAGGCCGGTCACTAAGAATGGAACGGGCGTACTTACATGGCGTGCACGTGTCCTAGCTGTACGTTGACCTGCTATTTCTTCATCACTTTTTTGCTCCTTTTTTTCACGGTAACTATTCTTCGTGTGTACACGGTGATAGTATAACTCCTTGAAGAAGTACTAAAAATAATGCAAAAGGAAGGCTTGAGAGAACGGCTTGAGGTACGTACCAATATTATTTTTGCTGTCGCCGTGACAGTTTCTCTGTGCCATTGGTCTGCTCCGAGCTGATTGCTCAAGTCCAAGTCAAGTCGACCCTGCGTCAAGCTTCAAATTCCGTCCACAAACACACGCTAGCTGGCGTTTAACTATTCTACTGGACTGTCTACGGCCAAAAAACAAATCGAGTCTCGATGTGCCCGTGTTCCGGAAAGTGGGAAGCTTTCTTGTTTTTATCAAGAGTTCGATGAGTCTCGCTCGTTTGCTACTTCTTAGTTGCCATTCCCAGAGAAGGGGCAGGTAAGGTGAAGTTGAAATTGTCCAGCTATTCATAACTTACTTCTTACTCCTAATGATCTAGTCGATCAATTCTCAGCCTCTTTTAAACGTTACACACGAAGACCATCTCCCTTCCAAGCCCTGCGAACCCGACGGTAACCTGGACAGGTTCAGTCCTCGCAACTCTGGCCAAAATGTCCACTGCCAGGTTTGAATATACGGCTCTGTGAATAACATTTTCGAAATTCACTGACATGAGATTTTTAACCGTCTTTTTATTCATTGGTAGCACGAACAGCAGGCGGCTGCAAGGACAAGATGGGGGAGTTTTTTTGACCGAAGGTCTGGCATTCGTCTTGGTATCCGTCAATGTCACTTCAGTAGTACAAGCTCATCACACACCGTGCAGACGTGTGGTATCACATCTAGTCAGATGTCAACGCAAATAATACCACCAAAGCTTCCGCCCAACGATGAGGGGTGAGTAGCATAGAATATCTGGAACTCGTCGGATTTCCAGATAGCGCCAGAGGTTGCTCACGAGCTCCGTTTTCAGAATTTTCTGGCCGTTAGCATGGTAATATGAGATTTACTCACAGAACTGATCCTATCTGAGCTGCAAGGGGTCAGCGGGCTTTCCCTATGCGAAATAGCTACCCATTCCATCTTGCTCTGGTCGCGACCCAGGCTGCTCTCTCGCAATGCTCCGAAATAAATCGAGTACGTTTGTGATTTCACTTCATTGAGAACAATCCTGATAGAAATTTCATAACTGCCATATGAAAATACAATTGCTAGGGATACGCCATCAGCCGACAATCGCCTTGGGTTCTAGAATTGGACCAAAGGAAAATCAAACGAGTCTGGAAACGGAAACGGAAAACATCAACTGAGATAGACCGCAAATTCAACATTCGGACAACGGAGAGGGAGGACTGTCGTGATCATCCTAATACCCATCCCACATCCCCCACCCACAACTGAAATTATTGATAACATAATCATTCGGGAGATCATCCTCAAGTCTGCAGCTCAGTATCCCCGCCGAGCGGATGAGGAAGGTATGACTCAACTTCCCAGCTGGGTTATGCTGCTCCCAGAACTTGCAGCTCACACGCGTCAGCTGCATGGGTCATGGTTCGATCACGCTTGATGGCGCTGCATGTTGCTTGTGTGCTCATACAAGCTGGGAAATCCCATATAACGGCATTGCTCAAGTTCTGCTTTCGTGCCTCTCTCTTTCTAGGTAAGTCGTTTTCCTTCGATGTGTTGGATCAGAACGGTGAACTCGTTGCACGGCACCGCGGCGTTATTATTTACTTTTCGCCACACCACCCGAGTAATCCGTGGAAGCGGACACCATGCCAGGATTAAAATTCGAGGTACTATCTTTTACCTCTTTGGGGCCGCTTCAGCTCCTTTGTCGTGCATGCCTCAGCTCAGGTGTTCATTGCGATCCATGGCATTGCCATATTACCTTTCTGTCAAAACCTATGGATCAATCATCTTTGTTCTGTTCATCGACCGTCGAGATGTTGATGCTTACAGTCGGACTCGCCATTATTCATCATGATGGTGCACCTCACAAGCGGTGAAATTCAAGTTTAACGCTAACTACTGTATACCTGCCAACTCTGTGTGTTAGATTAGACAATGTAACCTTGTTTCTACATAGTCAGGATACCAAGCCATGTTTTGCCCATGGTGGTGTTCTAAGATAATCGGATTTGCTGCAGGACGGAAATGGCATATGTATTGATGAAGAAGTCGAGCGCTGTCTGTTATTGTTCAGATTGCACACGCCATCGGTGGATCAAACATCAAACAGACGATCAGGACAGGTACGGTCGCGGCGATGACTTTTCTGACGGAACTTCGGTGAGCAAATGCCATTTACGATACGCATCAAGTCGGGAGTTCATCATGGCTACAAGTCAAGTACCCGAAAGGTACTTTCCGGTATCCATTTTTAAGAGATCACTAGTGTTATGTACAGCGTTCTGTTGGTATGATATTGGTCGACCGGCGAGAGAAAAAGGCGCCAATCTGGAGGATCGACGCTTTTACTTTGAATACCGGAGTGCAGTATTCTCAACCCTTGTGGAGATGCCAATGAACACTCCCGATATCGACTGATTAAATTTGAGAGAGAAAGTGCTGGGGGCTGGTTCGACAAACTACGATAAGCAGAGTAGATAGAAAACTCACAGGCAAGGGCCACATCAAATGTGTAGCACATAGACCTCGTACCACCTTCCTACAGCTGAATCAAATCGATTCCCCAGCGCCGCAGCACGAAACCATCACGAACGAAGAACATACCGATAGGCATACCGATAGGTCCACCCAAGGCGGACATCAATAAAGACCTATAATGGCGATTTTTCCACCGTCCGTGGTCCTCAGTTGGGCTAGTGGTGTACTTATTCATCAGCGCTCTTGATTTCGGGAGAATCCATGACATTTGCATTTCGAGCAGCACGGAGGTTGACAATCACTGAGTGATACACATGGTGCATGTACAAAGCTTGCGAGCGTGTCGGAACTTGTCTGCTGCGATAATCCACCGATGGGCCAATAATAATATGGGTGGGAAGTGAGAAGAAGTGCCGAAGAACACATGGAATTGCTTGAACTAGCCCAACGCATGGATGAATATGAATATCACGCGAAATATGGCCTAGAGATACGACGCCAACGAAAAGCTGCACATTGTTGGGATAAATTTCAAGGATTTGTATTGTAGATGCTCTTCAAGAGAGAACATTACTGCCAGTTGCTCTTGAACACGTGTAGACCACGTGACATATCGAACTCTGCAGTGCGGCAAATTACCGCAACAGTTAACTTGAAGCTTCAGTTTTTAATCACAGTAGCGACAGCAGTATCAAACCAAAGGGATCTGTTGAACTTTCGATTTTGTTATTGTGACTTTTATACACCATGCAACGCAACAAAATCAACTCTGCACACCACCTCCCCACTAAAGCAACCGAAATAGATAAATCATGGTGTCATCAGTAAATGGTCTGACATCAAAAAGATATGCACCAATGAGTTATAATCAGCTATGCTAAACACTATCTTGATTCACTACAATTTTATTTTATACGCTCTCACCATTGTTTAGAATCCAGACTTTGTTTGCATCACGACGAAGATCAGGTTGAATTTGAGACAAAAAAAAACACTTCTGACCCAATCTCAATGGTAGGGACAAATCACTACGCGTACGACGTTGGAGTGTATGGTGTCCGCACTATCTATCACACTTTCAATGCCTGGGCGCACAGTGTTTGTCTTTATGATACTGGCATATTGGATGCAAAGTTTCAACATGACAGTTGCATTTCGAACCAACAAAATAGCGAGTAAGTTTTTTTTTATGCAGGTGAATTTGTATTCTGGTGTCTGCACACCTGCACATTATGAAATAAAAGCGTCAGCGAAACCCAACGAAGATCCGCTCAGCCCCACAAAGCTTCTACGTCCACTTCTCTTGGGCCCCTCCTTTCTCCTCCATGTTCGTGTTGTGTATTCTCGTTTTCGTCAGAAGGCAAAGCAATTCTTCCATGTTGTTTACTATAGAAACGATTATAAATCATGGAGGCCAACAGGCCTAGTGGGTGAAGCACAGTAAATAGGATGACTACGATCTGAGTAGATTATAGGATTAGTGCCATTTGTTTCAGTTGAAAGACCAACTCACAATAACGGGAGCAGGTTTGGGCCGCGCGCTCCATATACTTGCACAAATCCAAGTTGCGGCCACAGCCCAGACGATGTCTCGTCTGGTGATGACTACAGCAAGTCCGAGAAGATTGACGCCAAACGAAACGCCAAATCCCGACCACTGGTGCAGTGTGTAATCTTGTGGAAGATCCGGGGCATAAGAAAGACCTAAAGTTATGCTATTGGGGAAAGGCGGTGCAATACGGGGTTAGCGGACAGTGTGAGTCATGGCAATAGACGGACATACAATAGCGAATATGGAAACATGAGTGAGAGGGGTAAGATGAGGAAGAGGCGAAGAGGCGCGTGTACGAGGGCGATATCCAGTGGGCGGTCGGAAGAGGGTGGGTGATAGGTAAGCAAAGCAATGTTGGAATAGATGAGTAAGAGTAGAATAAGTCCCAGGAAGATGGTGGAAACCAGGAAAAACTGCAACACCCATGCGATAGCCCATAGAGCCATGAACCAGTTTGCGAGGACAAGGCTAAGGCCGACTGCCTTCACCATTGCTTTCTGCGTGTCGTGTGATGATTGGTAAGAGTGAAAAGAGAAAGAGATGGATATATACCTTTGTCTCAGGTTTTCTGGCGAGGACGAGGAGGACACAGTAACCGACCTGGCCGACATATATTGCAAGAACATACACTGCTATTAAAGCAGGATTCGGAGAAATGGATGTTGGATATAGGTCGGTTATGCCTCCTATTTACGATATTAGTGAACAGGCTATCTGACCTGACATATTTTGAGCACGTACCGATAGATGGCTTGACTATTACAGTACAGACAAGTACGGTGGCGATGTTAATCAAAAGCGAGAGGGGAGTCAAGACCTGCAAGCTGTGATAAAATGAGTGAAACACTAGCGAAAGGAAGAAAGATGGAGACATACCGAACAAGAGAAAGGTACTCTTGTACAGCAGGATTTGACATATCAACTGGAAGGGAGTCCATTGTGGATGCGATACAAGTTGGTAGTGAGTGAGGAGCCTTATAGCGAATTTGGGCCAGCCATGGTTTGAATCGCTGGTGTATATGACATCATAGCAAATGCTTTGGCAAGCAACCGAAAACAGCCTAGGGCTCCTAGGGCTCCGCAATCTGGTTCACACAAACGGTCGACGTCCTTCATTGTTGGGATATGGGACGTGAGTGTGCTCGAGAGGCAACGAGTGAAGCGAGCATAAAACCCAGCTATTATTTGGAGCTCAGCGCAACGTTCACCAATGCGCTCTATCCTTGGTTCACGTGTGGATGACCTCGTTAGCAGAGGTGTCGACAATATGACAAAGACGTCGATATGGAGTTTAGCCTAGGCTCTGAGCTTTTGCCAGTGAAACTACAACCAGTACCGGCTGTCTTTCTTTGGTCTCCCTCTTCATCTTTTGCTATGCATTCGGATTCGTCGACGGCAAATAATTCACACCACCGAATCGATTCCAAGATTTCATAAGTAAATAAACCAGGATGCCTCAGAGGATAATGTTGATCAAGGTTGATAATGGTTATGTCGAACGTTCGTTACCGTCAGCTTATCAGATCCTTTTATTTTCAAACCGCCATCGGATTTAAAAATGCCGAGAACACCTTCACTTTTTACTTTCAACTGATTAGATAGTATTAATTCACCAATGGCTACAGAAAATGAGAAAGGCAAGTAAAATTATCAAGATCAGGTAGCACATGTTGATTCCATCCTCCAGTTCTCGTTGGCGTAATCGGTGGTAGTGGCCTGTATCACCTCGACAATCTTACCTTTGTGTAAGTACATATCCGTTTCTCTTTTACGATATATTCACCTCTAGCAGCAAAACTGTAAACCCAGACACAGTATGTCGGCTATAGTACATATACCTTCTAGCTTGCTGACTTGTTACAAAGCCCTGGGGATACCCTTCATCACCGATCACGATCTGTTCTCTACCATCCGGCTCTCTCATCGCCTTTCTCGCTCGCCATGGTCCCCATCATACATTCTCTCCTTCAACAGTCCCTTCTCGGGCTAACATCGCTGCTCTTAAATCCATTGGTGTGCGTGCCATCCTCGCATTTAGTGCTGTAGGCTCCCTGCGTGAAGAAATAGCCCCAGGTCACTTTGCTATCCCCACCCAAATCATTGATCGTACAAAGGGTATTCGTCCGGCTAGTTTTTTTGAAGGTACGACTATTGTCGCACATACTGCTTTTGGGGATCCTTTTAGCGTGAAATTGGTGAAATGGCTGGAAGGAAGAGTTGAGAAGGTGCTTCAGGAAGAAGGTAGAGGAGTCGTTTTGCATAAGGAGAAGTGCATCATCTGTATGGAGGGCCCACAATTCTCGACGAGAGCGGAAAGCATCATGTACAGGTCGTGGGGTGGAGATTTGATCAATATGAGCGTGCTCCCTGAAGCTAAACTGGCCAGGGAGGCGGAACTCAGGTACGTCGTTCTTCTAGCTACGGATGACTCGTTAGCTCCCATACTCAAGAACCTGTCAGTTATGCGCTGGTCGCAACAGCTACCGACTACGACTCTTGGAGGCCACACTCCGAAGTCGTCACGGCTGCAGAGGTGTTCAAAACGCTTCAAAGCAATGCGGATACTGCAAGACATGTCGCGGCGACTATCCTAGAGGAGTTGTGTGCTGCGACACTACAAGGCGATCTTTTGAGCGAGGAAAAGGGGAGTATGCAATTTTCCATCATGCCGAGGAGTGCAGCCCAGAAGGAGGAGGACGCGCAGACGCTGGCGTTTATCCTTCCCGAATATTTTAACAGCACGGCCTAGTAAAGTGACAGGTGATATTGTAGAGATATGAGTGATCTCGATGAATGATCACCATCTTTCCTCCTACAATCAAGTCTGTATGTCCATCATGCCGTGTGTGGAAACACGATATTCATCTCAACGCCGATAAATTGGCGGATCCCTCAACCATTGGGACAGAGGTGCATGCTGCTCGCGTTTGTGAAGAGTCACTGTGGGTAGTAAAAGCAATGTATGAGAAAATCAAAAAATCGCTACCAAGTGATCTACATATGCAATACATATGTTCGGTCACTGAAGAGGGCTTTTTTCTGTGTTATTCATCATTGAAATATCTGCTGAATATCAAGTGATTGCACCACTCGTTTTATTGAGAAAATGGTCAATCAATTAAGTGGGTACCCCCACTGACCAGAACCGACTAAAAGCACAGTGAGAATTTTCGCAATAATAACATTGATAGAAGAAACATTACACGATGGTGAGTATCAATATGATACGGGCAAGCTGCAGGAGAAAATAAAAGGATGAAAGATACTTTTTGGGAGGAACTCCGCCTGCCCCAGAGACCATTATCATTATGCCTAAGTAACGAGTAGAAACCTTCAATAGGTACCTGTGAATGAAATAAAGCAAGGACCTACATTTGTCCCTTTGGCACGCCAGTTCTTTCAAGTTAAATCAAAGATGTAAATTGAAAGATGAACGGGAAATTCGAGACTTATTTCTGTCTTGTTCAAGTTTCTAGCGCCAGGAAATTTCGATGCAGCCTGACTGGGCGCGACATGAGGAGTCGAGTGAGATGGCTTCGGTTTCCTGGCGTGCGCATTCAGTAGCTTGGGAACAAACTGAGAAGGTATGTTGATCAAAGAAAGCAACTTGAGGCAAGATATGTTGGAGTGTAGTGTTACACTGGCCTTTATTTTAAACTTTTGTAAAGAAAAACGAATATAAAACACTGACAGTTCGCAGAGATAATATTACGTAAATGACAATTCAGACCCCGTTCTATCACTGAACTCAGCGCCGGTGAGTGTTCGTCTCCAATACCCATACGTGGTCCATCCATTGTAGTTACTAGAACAATGGTATTGATGTCTATCATTGGCTGGATTGCATTTTTCCTATCGTTTTCAATGACCTGCTCAGCTTGTTCCTTTAAAAACTTCACGCCCAGTTTACCTGATACATCATGCTCCGCTTCACAGAGTTTGTCTTACCTGCACACCAGTGCGCCTGGAATCACTATAGCCTCGCCCGATGATTTTTCTTCCCAGGAAAAGATCCTGACCGCACCCTGTGTCTTATTATACACGTTCGCACCATGGAGCGCACACGCCCGATATCTCATCCACAGTCGGGAAACTATACAGCAAATCACGGAGTCCTACAGCGCTGACATTCAATCACGTCGTCTCGCCGTTGTCGTGTCTGAAATATCCGAGCCACTTGCTCCAGATGATCTTGTGTGGGATTTCATCGTCGATGGTAATTATTGGGGCTCTCTGGCAGTGTTTTGCAATTATTCGATGGAGGGGGTGGTCCCGGTAATCGACCATAACGCAGAGTCTATAACGCTTGCGATCAATGCGTGTCTTGAACGGGTCGAGTATGATGGTGCGAATTTACCACCTAGTGTCGGAATAATTGAGCAGTCGTCCAATTCTCCCAAGTGAAGAACGTCTGATTCTGACATCAACGAACATATACTATGATGTATGTTTCCCTCTTCCCAATTCGATGAATAGTATGCTAATACAGCTGGGTAGTACCAGGAATACCTAATCCTGATAAATATGATTTATGCACACGCATAGCTCCTCGTGCTTGCTGTCCTCACATAGCAATCTAGTTTTCAAACATCTTGGGTAGCAATGTTTAATCCCTTATGCAAACGTGCTTTTATCGCTATGTTGTTTTCTCAGGAGTACTACTTACTGCAGTGGATGAGTGTGCAACGCTCGATATGCTCTAGTGTTGGGTCGGATTACCTCACTTCGGATGATCGACATACTAGTTCTGACTCTGCCTCCAGGCCAAAAGTAATGAAAGGCACAGTACTGCACAAGGACAACACACGACACGCTTTTGAGCTACTCGAATTAACTGGTGTATTTGTACACATCCGAGGCTGCGTTGATCGAGAGTGAGGTTATCGATATCCACAGCGCTATTTCACCTGCCTATTTCTAACTATCTTTCTTTCATCCGCCAGCTCACCCCGGTCTTTCCCTCCACGGGACAAAACTCGCAAGGAAAGACCTCCTAGTGCCATTCAGTCTTTGGTATGAGAAGTGTCCAATTCTGACGTGGACGTGGACTGTGGTGCATGTTCTAAGTCTGGAGTTTTAAAAACTTTCAAGTCGAAAGACTGATGTTCAAAGTCAAAGAGAGACGAATAGATTCAAAAGGTGGCAGACGCATTTCCAACTACTAGTACAAAGCATGGATAGAAAAGCACGTCAAAACACTAGTACAACAAAGCAAACATTTTATTATTTTTTTTACAAAATAGGCAAACTTGAAAGACCAAGAAATCGGTATCTTTGAGATGCAAGAACATATTATCGTTTACAATTCGTCCTTCCCGTTTTTATTCGCTTTGATCTGGCGACGTTGGAAGAATGTCTTGCCATTTCCCTCGAAGCGGTCTAGCTGGTCTGGCGTATTGACCGATGACTTTAATTTCCTCGCCATACTTTCCAGCTGGGGAATGAACGAGTCGTCGATCCAGACATCAATCACGCCCTCCGCCTTTATCACACGCACCATTTCATCTGCGTTTGTAGGAGTGAGAGGAGCTCCAATCATCGTAATCGTATCGGCAAAATTATCAGCGAAGGGATACTTTGGGTTGGTGGGCCATGGCTGTACCATCACGAGGTATGGAATCTTGCCCGATCCGCCCACAGTAACTTTCTCCACGGCATTCACGTTGATGGCGCCATGAAAACCGGTCACTAGACCATCCTGGTTCAAAGGGCCTTCTCCTCCAATGTCAATCGTAATAGGATATTTTTCATCGAGGCCAATTTGATCGCGAGATACCTGTGCACCGGGCCTGGCAGGTTTCCCAACAACTTGTACGATGCGATCAACGATGACTTGCAAATCTGGTGCAAGCTGTGGCGTCGTTTGCTTGAGCGTAGTTGCAATAACAGTTGTGCTAACAGCTCCATATGCAAGAACAAGGAAAGCTGGAATGACTAGGAAAAGTACCCTTCGTGGACGGTTGTGTTCAGCCCTCAGCTTGTCAGAGAGTGCAAGTGCGATAATTCCATGGATGTGCTGTTGGAAAAAGAAAACGTCACCAACAGCACCATCCAGGATGTTGAGACTTTCTCCGTCATCGCTTCTGGATGCTCCAATAAAGCCGTATATGGGCAAGACAGCATTTTGGCTTGAGTTGTCCGAAGAGGTGTAAACGATGGAGTCTAGCACACCATCAACAAAGAACGCAAAACGAGATTCTTCGTATGCATAGGTGACCACAATGCAGACCCATTGGCCTAGCGGAATGGCATTTTTGGAGGTGAAATTGGTGCGTTTGAATGACAAGATTTGGGAATATAAGAATGAGTATTCGAGTTTGCCATTCGACAGGATACTCAAAGGGCCAGTAATACCTGCCTTCGTTGCTGGATAGTTGTTTACCTTCACCCACAGCGAGAGGGTGTAGGAGGGGAATGTGCGTCCGTAAGGGAATAAAGGAAGCCTCAATGCTCCCCGCTTTTCAGCGAAACTGATGGCCTTTCCAAATGCACCTTCGGTATAATCAGGTTGATAACCATCAACAGCTGCAAGGTCAAGTGCGGGAGCCTCAATGATAGCTTCGGAGATGTCGGCCTTGAGTGGATAATAAGCTAAAAGGGCTGGCTGGAGGTCGCGGAGGAGCATCTCTGCATTCTTTTTCAGTGGTACGCATCGAACATGACTAATGTCGACGGAAACGGCTGTGTTGGGCTCGAGATGTTGTACACTGAATGTTGCGTTTCCGGGAGCGGCATCATAAGCACGCGTATATCTGTACACTCCGTCCTCGAAGAGCGATACAGACCTCGACGAGTAGACAAGTGTGACAATGGTCCACAGTCCACTTCCCACACGTACAGAACTATCCGACAACTTGACAAAGTCGCTCGCGTACTTGTTCCACGTAGCTACCTGACCATTTTGTACGATTCGAAGGATGTTATCACCTAGAACTGTAACTTTGGTCTCGCTCCCACCCGAGCTGTTGACTCGCATGCGGTACATGACAACTCCTGTGGCATCCATGGGAACGGCAACTTTAGGGAATATCCAAGAATTCCTTATCGAAAGACTATTGGTGGAAACACGCATGTAGCCTTCCTTTGAATAGGAGTTGGGAAGAGGATCATCCTTTTGTTTCGACACTTCCCAAATATCCGCCGAGGGAATGACGGTGTCGGAGAAAGCAATATCCCATGGTGTGTTCACGCTAGTAGCGAATGTCGAAGGAATAATGAATATAGAGCGAATTTGTGCGCTGAGGCTAGAATTTCGAGAGAGAAGCTGCCAGGTCAGGAGCGGAATTACTGATGCTTCGACGCCCTTGTCCCATTTTGCTATGAAATTTCCATTTTCAAAGATGGCGATGCCTGCGGGCCAAAAGCAGAGAGTAACTTGGACATAATCGCTACCGATGGAAATCGTAGATCGACCGAGCTGATGAAAACCGTCGTTAGACCACCAACAGTAATTGAAGTTGGTGCCATCATAGCGCAAAACGACACCACTTGCTAGGGTCAATTTAACCTCTGTAGCTGGCTATGGTTGCAGGTATGGAGTTAGTCTTCGCTCGGTTTACCGATAGTGCAGTCAACTCACGTTTATTGCAGTATACTTGATATCAAACCTGAACACCGAGCCATTTGCAACTTGCAAGCTGTGCTGGATTGAAAGATTGGTCCACTGGTTATCCGCGTTCGATGAGCCTCGTGAAATATCGAGGTATTCCTGCTTGGCCACAATGGTGGCTCCGTTAGCATTGGGGCCGTACTGCCAGATGCCAATCAAAGGCATGCCATCCGCGATTGGGTAGTCGATAACACCATCCTTAGTAACAGTAAAACTCATGTTAGGAAGAAATTTTTGGATTGCTTTAAGGCCACAATATAAAGGGTGGAACGAGGGATTAGTGCTGGCTTCGCTGGATGCAACAAAACAACTAACCTTTGTAGAAGAAGAGAGAATGACGATGGGTGTTTCAGTCGATGACCTGCGATTATATAGCATACTGTTACATACCCCTGTTCTCAAAGCAGGAAGTAGGGCATACTGCGCAGTACTAGAATAAGGCTATAATTTGACAACGTGAATGGTCTTGGAATGAAGGTCAGCCCTGAGGGAAGATGTTCGAACACCTGATACGTACAATTAAGGAGAGCTGTTACGGTACCCAGGTATCATGATGAGTCCCATGTACACTTTGCTGTACCAAACGGGGGGAATGACCCTTTATCTAGTGGGCAGGCAAGCCTTTACTGCTCCAGCAAGGTCAAAGCAAACAGCTGATGAAAAAATGTTCTTCGTCAATTGAAAAATTTTGACTTTGTAGGCATAGGCATGGAAGCAGAACATGCAGCTGATCAACAGGTATACTTCGTCAATTGAATAGTTTTACCTCTTGTACGCATAGGCACAGAAGCAGGACATACAGTTGTTTCATATCGATAGACCCGTTTTGATGTTACTCTACACAACAACAGTGCACCACCCCGCCTCCCTCTATTGTTCGGAAACCTTCGACAGATCCCCGAGGCGAGTAAACAACAATTTTAGTGTTATTTGCTGTCGGTGCCCGGTGTGAAGCTTTGACCAGCATGATAGACTTACATGTACTCTGAGGGAGACTGCGGTATCAAGCAAACAGTGAGTATACAGCAACACAATACATATGTTAAGTCTAACTAACTTGGACGAGGTACTATATAGCACTAGCCTTCTGGAATCAGATGGGAGTGACGGTTTAAGTAGTACAACAGCCTTTTCTGATTAATTATCAGAAACAGGGGCTGCCACCTACTCTGTAAACCATGTAAGTACCATCAGATAGCAGGGAATAGCCACATGAACCTTCTCCACTTGGCGTGGGGTATGTAAGACAGCTGACATGGAAGCACAATATGTATAACTTCAAATGTTCTTCTCTTCGCTTCCCGGTTCGACAGAACATAATAGAGTCTCGAACCCAGAGCTCGCGCTCTATCTGGAAACATTTGATACATGATGCTACACAAGGGGCTCCCAAAAAAACTGCGCCCCCCTGGATTGTTTGTAGACTCCCGGGGTCCTATGATTGGCTTTTCTGCGATGTTCATTGTGTAGGTTTGGTACTTTAGTACTTGGCACATCTGCAGTCAAGTCCGACATTAGCCGAGCGAAAAAGCTGCTCTCTAATAGCAGCTTTGGCGCGGCACTTTTCCGCAGATGTAGACAAGTTGTTTATAATAGCAATACAAGCATATTAAATCTAAATTATGGAATATTTTCACTAATTACAGTTAATTGCAGATTGTTAGACGTGTCAGTGTAAAAACCGCATACAAACGGACTTGAAAAATATAATTACCTAAAAAAATAAGGAGACTGTATCCTAAGTCTGGTTGATGCCACTTGAGCTAACTATTACAAGTAAGGAGGGCAGATATTTTGTGTTGAATGATGGTGCCAAAGCATAATTATTGGCAAGACATGTAGCACACAGATGTGGCAGATCGGTGTCATGCACCAAAGTTGATTGGTAGCATGGACAGGTGTCAATAACGAAGCGAATATTCAAAAAGACTCGCCTTTGCGCCACACAGGCACAGTGCCACGTGGAATAGTAATTAATATTGCCTTTTTTGAACTTGTGGCTGATCAGCACCACCTCTATTAGGCAATCCAGTCACGCTCACCTTTGCTTTTTCATCCGGTACTTTCCGCGTTTCGGCATTTTGGCAAATTTTTGCGTCGCCACTGGCTACACATTGCATTGCGCCCTCGCTTTTGTCGTTTCCCTTACTCCCCTTCCTTTGCCTAGCCCCACCATGGGCCCCTTCCTCTCCTTTTTATTCTCACCTGATGGTCGTTTCTGGATCCCCATTCTAATCCACTTTTTCGTCACCTCCACCCTCCTCCTCCTCATCTTATTTGCACCCCCACCATTTCTGATGTCACCACTTCCTATCCGCTTCCGTTGCCGATCCGTTGACTACCACGTGCCACTGCTGATATCAGCAAAGCCCCGGCGGCTGGTCCAAATAGGGCAACAGGTCCATCTTCATGACGTCGATCTGCCATCATATACTATCAAAACATCAGTCGCTGGTCTTGCCTGGTTGGAGCGTGGGTGGGTAGTTTTTGAGCTGGAGAAGGTTCATCCCCTTGCATCGCCCATGTTTATTGCTGTCCCATTCACTTGGGTACACTTATCTTTTGTCCATCGTCTTCGCTACAGCTACACCTACCACACGCTGCCTGGGACTCACTTGTTCCAAATTGGAACTACTCCTCTCCCTCCCTCGTTTGATCAGGTGGTCCAACACAACCAGTCCATTGGTAAGGCCATGGAACTGTCGGATTTGGACTAGGTGGTGGACCAGTGGCTCCAGTTTCTTTTTCTTCAGCAGAACATTCATTTACAGTGCAATTATTTTTGATTTTTGAATCATTTTTATGGACACATATTTTTTAGAATGCCTGACTGACAATAAAGGAACTGTGTTGATACTGATAGTGTTTTGCCTTGCCCTTTTTTTACTGCATCTTCCCATGACATCATGATTTTCCTGCTCTCTTTTTGCTATTGGACTTTACTTTATGGCTGTACAAACCTGTGACATTACTCACAGCATTCATTGTTCTATCCCTTTCTTTTCCTTTTTTGACAATCTTATCCTGTACTACCTACGCAGGATTTGTCAGCATACATTCCTTCCTTCATGTTCTTTCTCATTCTTTTTGCACAGCTATACTGTGCATAGCCTACTTTTCTTTTACTATATAAACCCCTGTATTTTACCTTGTAAAAAAAAAAAAGAAATCCAATCCAGACTTCTTCTCTACTCTCAAGTTCACTACTCTGCTACTTGTGATCCAGTGTGGTCACAACACTTCCCACTTCTACCACTGTTAACTGCTGTCATCGTCACTCATCATTTTTTTTTGAAAGTGATTATCATCCCCTTCAATTAGAGTCCTTCTGAGCACTGCAGTTTGTGCGTCAGGAGCCTGCTATCACTGGGAACCTCGTCACCTTGTCATCCTTGTTGTTCTTAAACCTACCTTGTGCTACAATTAGCAAGGTAGTGCTCATCTATACTCGTCACTAAGCCCCTTGTTAGTTTTGGTGATTCTGCACCTTTGTGCTACCTATATATTTTCATTCCTTTCTCTATCTATTCTTCTATCATTCACTATTGATTGTGTTCTCTATTATTTTGCCTTTGTGGCTGCTTTGTTTACCTTTGTTTACAAAACTTCGGACAGTACTGCAGAGTCCAATGCTTCCTATTCTCTAGTTACTTACATTGGACTCTAGGTACTGTATACCTGTCATACTCTCTAATAATATAGTTACTCACATTGGACTCTAGTTCCAGTCCCTGATTGCTCTCAGCAAGTGGCTAGACACTTCCTTCAAGCTTTGTTCTTAATACCCCTATCTTCTATAAATTCAACTATCCCTCCTCCTCAAAACCCACACTCATACACCTCTGGGTTTTACTTTGAAGGATCTTTATATGTACCACCCCACAAACAACCAGACCACTCCACTGTTCTAGTAAACAAGTTCCGTGGAATCTGGGAGGATTGTGTGTTAGTTTGTTTTTGTGTGTGGTTTTCTAACAGCAGTTCTCATCATCGATATCGGTTGCGAGGTAGAATATAAATATGAGATACTGCTAAGGAAGGTACTCACTATTGACAATGTCAACCCAACCCAACCCCCAATGCTTCAACAACCAAATGCCTAATCCTGACCTGTATTGAGCCCAGTATCAACATGGCCCCTCTCTGTACTCTGCTCACAACCCACAGCATCCTACAGACCTCTATGCAATGGCAATCAGGCAAGGAGGTCATCATTTTGCCATGCACTACGTATCACAACACAATGGGATCCGCACCCATGTACAGTGATTCTGGACCTTCTGGGCATGCAACCAATCAGTATGCTTTCCAAGTACGCCTTGGTAGCTTAGTTGGTAAAGCACCAGACCATGAAAGCTGGAGTCCCAGGTTCAAGCCCTGGCCAATGCATGTTTTCTCATACTATAAACAAATGTCATAATTTGTCATAATAAAACTAAGTGAAACTCAGCCGCTGCCCGAGAGGCTATAGAAACAACTGTATTATTTACCTAAGTGAAACTACAATGGATGTTACTTTAAGGTGATCTCTAATAAATGTAATGTAAGATACCTCAGCCGCTGCCCGAGAGGCTATAGAAACGACTGAGGTATTTCTATACTAAACCCCCTACTACTTATAGTCAGAGGTGCTACTCGCTACAGTATAATAACTCCTAGGAGTACAATTGTGCTCCTAGGAGAACAATGGTGAATCCATGAAGCAACCATTATGCTCCATGGAGAACAATGGCTGCTTTAGTAGAGACTGGGTTTATCTGGTTTTGTCAATGCAGCCATACAGAATTCCATCACAGCTGCCTATGCAGCTTCGGTTGAGGGGCTTCCAATCCCTACCCAATCTGCCCATTGACTGCCCAATTCAACAGCAGCTGAGCCTGCAAGGGCCCATCGTCCTAGCACAGAGCCTCGGCCTGGTGGTAAGCATATTTTCCCAATATGATATTATTTTATTTTACTCACCTAGTGTAGCTTTTGTATTTACAACGGAGGTTGTTGATGGTGAAGCCAAGAGAGACTTCAGCACTGTGACCGACATGGAGTGGGACAAGTTTTACAGCGAGGTAGCAAAGCTGATCAAGGACCACAGCAAGGAGGACCAGCTTGCATACAAGGTGTCCGGGGATACTGGAAAGCCATTGTATATGAATAATGAGCACAACTTCAAGGCGGCAATGGAAAGGGTTGCAAATAAGGCAAATGTTACGCTTGGAGTGTACAAGCCTGGTAACAAGGGGGTTTCTAGCAACAAAGCTGTTTCGGATAAGCCTGTTTATGGATGGGTTTGAGACGCATTCTGATGATGAAGTTCTTAACTGATGAATACCAAGCTGCACTGTTGAAGCGTACAATCATATTGGAGGTGTCAACTACAATACAGGCGTCTATATATACTGTCCTACTTTAGGGTAGGTGTTTGTGTTGAACAAACAATGACTGGTGAGACTGTAACAGGCAACAAGTGTGGGAAATAGGAATGAGTAGCGGTAGGTAACTACTCTGAGAAAGAAATAAAGTTCTTAGGAAACACAGTCCGTAACATTACCCCCTTTTTAGGTTCAGACTGCTCCGAAGTCTCCTAGCTCTCCATCAACATTGTAATGTGCGTCTTCATCAAGGTTGTTATGCTCATTGTCTAATCCCCAACTATCTGCTGCAAAGGGTAATTTGCGTTGTCGGTTACACCTATTAGTGCGGTGTCTGGGTGCGTCTAGTCCGCATGCAGAACAAGTATGGTAACAACAATAAATGGCACAATGGCCATATTCTTGACAGGCATAACAATGTTGAATATGAGGGTGACATTGTCGTTCGGAAGAGGATTGTGAATGAGTAGAATTGGAGTAATCAGAAATTGGCAAGGGCCTCTTGCTCCTACTACTAGAGGATGGGGTGTCACCTTCATTGGTCCTCAACAACCTTCCATCCGGAGATGAGCCGTTGCTCGACATGGGGGTTGGCTTCTGATTTGTGCGCTGCATGTGGGGAGTGCAATCTGAAGGGATAAGGAGTACCAGCTCGGGGCGCTGGCAGCGTAGTCGGCGGTTGTGACGGGGTTGAGGGAGTTGGGGGAGGGGCATCACTGGTCATATAGGAATCAATATGTCCTGCAATTCTTCTACTGCGTTGGCTACTGGGACTATGGAGTTGGTTATGGAGGAATGTGCTTGGGATGGTGGAGCGGGCGCAGGTAGAATAAGATCTGGCAATGATGGGCGAGATGCTGGTGGAGGCAGCGGCGGTGAGTGAGGGTGGTGGTGCCCTGGAAATGGATGTCCTGTCTTTGCAGCTAGGGACAACAAATCTGGGGGAGGGGAGGTGAGGTACCCTCATTGGGCAAGGATATTCCTCGTGTTATTGCATACTGTCTGGCACCCTAAATGTAGGAAGGCTTTGACCGCTTCTCTCTCTCCATTCTCGCAGTTCTTCCTCAAGCATCATTCCAGGGATTCTATCTGCAAGTGTTCCATGAGCAAAGTTGCTCCAATACTCAAGATGGAATTGTTGTCCCATGTAAGCTCTTCTACTAACAAACCCAGTGAGACAGTGACTGCATGTAGTTCACCGGCAACAAGGAGCGAGTGTTGCCAGCAATAGAATGTATCCAAGGGGTAGGTAGCATTAGGGCAAGTAGTGTTAGACTGGTGGAATAGATAAAAGTAGGCGCGCCTATCTGACATCAGATTGGTGGCATCTACAATGTTGGTTTGTTCGCGAGTAAGGGCAAGGCAGTACACCCATTGTGCTTCAGTGATCACTGGTGGTTCAGCGAGGTAGGGGGGAAATCGAGGAGGAAGGGTTTGTTGGTCAGTGGGGGTGATCTGAGACATGGTTGTTCAGGTAGGAGTGCGTAGGAGGGAATCCTGATGTATGTTTCGCAAATTGTGTCTCTTTTTATATTTGTTCAGGATTTTGAAAGCATTCTGTAAGTTTGCTTCTTCTTCCCAGAAGTTTTTGGCTGATGGGTAGTCCATCCATTTGATTAAATATAGGTATCCTTTTCTGTTCTTTTTGTTACGTAGAATGGCTTCTACTTTGTATTCTTCTTGTTGCAGAATATCTGCAAATATGTTTCTATCTCCCGGTTTACCCTTTTGATTTTCTCCATCAGATTGGGGGTGATACACGGTCAATAGATTCACTTTGGTCTTGAGTAATCTAGCCAGTTCTTTGGTAACCTCTGATGCAAACTGTGGTCCTCTATCAGATATGAGTTTGTCATGTAGTCCAAATCTTCTAAACACGTGTTGGGTTGTGTGAGGAATCAATTTTTCTTATCGCATTCCCGTCATGTCGTGGTTAGCAGACTCGATCCCCGTCACTCCTCTTGCCCTCAGACTAGAGATTACCACAGGTGTCTTATTACTTTTATCCTTTTTCTTCTTATTTTCTATTCACACTCACGTCCTATCATACCTACAACGAGGTCGACTTGTTGTCGACCCTCGAGAAGATATCCAGATGACATAAGCCACGATCCAGTGCTATGTCTGGGAATACTTCGGAGGAATATTGATAAGCGAAGAAGGTTGTGAGTCAGCGCCTTCTCATGGGCTTACTGATACAGCCAATTGTACATCCCTTACCAATATGTTTTCTCATACGATTAGTAAATACGATAGATCGGACCACCTTCTCCTTTTTTCTTATTGGTTAGCTAGCTGGTCAGACCACTTTCTCAGTTCTTCCCTTTCTCGGTCTGACCATTGCCGTTCACTATATAAAGAAGTACATACTCAATGTATTGTTCTCTAGTTCAATATTAGTTTGGATTTGTGCTCATACCGATACTCTTCATTCTCATACCCTGATTCACCGCCTTCCAGCAAGGACTTGACCAGGCATTGTGCTTTGTTATATAGCTTTGTATTTGTTGCCTGACAGGTTGGTGGAAAAATTTAGCCGTTCCTAGTGCGTCAATAGTTTTCTTGCAAGGCAATAGTATTACCCCCTTTGTAAGGCCATGGTCCACCACGACCATGAGATTGTCATATCTGTTGCTTTCTGGTAGATCTGTGATGAAATCAACGGATAAGTTCTTGAATGGTTCTGCAGTCTTTGGGCCCAAAATTGGCTGTATGGGTGTTTTGACTGGATTGGTAATTGCCTTGCTTTGTTGGCATATTGCACATCCTGTGACATAATCTTTGATCATCTGTGTCATTCCTGGCCAATAGTAGTGTCTCATTACCAATTGTGTTGTTTTTAGTTGTTCTGGGTGTCCGGCTGTTAGTAAATTGTGTTGTTCTTGAATACATGCCTTTCTCTTGGTTCCTGCGGGAATGTAACGGCAACCTTTGTAGAGTACGACATTATCTTTTGTAGTCCAATCTTTTGGGTCCGAGTGCATCAGTAGTTTGGTTCCTTCCTGCAAGCTTGTTTGTATACGTGTGGAAATTGTGTCCGTGTTCGCTACTGCGGCAAAAACAGTCTTTGGAAGTAGTGGTGTGTCTTCTTCTTCTTCTTCTGTATATAAATCCGGTCTTCTGGAAAGGTTATCCGGAATTGTCATGTGTGTTCCAGGTATGTGTTTCAGGGTATAATTGTATTGTGAGAGTAGAAGTTGCCAATGTCTCTGCCGTGGTGTCAATTTTCTGGCTTCTTGCCAATATGTGAGATCCTTGTGATCAGTTCATATTTCTACCATGTGGGAACTGCCTAGAATGTAATGTTTCCATTCTTCTAGTCCTCTGATGACAGCAAGCAGTTCTTTGTTGTATATTTGGTGATTCTTTTCGGCCGGAGATAGTGCTTTGGAGTAGAAGGCACATGGATGCCATACCAAATTATCATTGGGCTGGTTCAAAACCGCTCCAGTTGTGTGTTTGGATGCATCCGCCGCAATTTGGGATAGTTTGTTTGGGTCCGGTATTTGGGTAACTGGCACTTTGCTGAAACGGTGTTTTAGTAGAGTAAATGCCTTCTCTTCTGTTGTGGTCAAGTTCCAAATCTTCCCTTTGTCTAATAGCACATTGAGCAGCCTATAAATTTGTGGTAGAAGTTGCCAAATCAGAGGAATTTTTGGACCTCGTGGACATTGGTTGGGGTAGGCCAATCTCTGATTCCTGCTAGTTTTACTGGGTCCATTTGTACCTGATTGTGATGGATGATTGTGCCGAGATATTCTATTTTGGCTACATCAAACGTGCATTTCTCTAGTTTTAGGTATAGGTCATTGTTGCGCAGGCGTTGCAATACCTGTTTTGTCCGTAAGATATGTTCTTCTGGTTCTTTGTTGAATATAAGCATGTCGTCCATATATATAATGAGCCATCCTTTGTCTATCATATCTGCAAAGAGGTCGTTCATCATGCGTTGAAAGGTGGCTGGGGAATTGCACATGCCAAAGAACATGACCGTGGGTTCAAAGAGTCCTTTTCTGGTTTTAAATGCTGCTTTCCATTTGTCTCCTTCCTTTATCCTGATATTGTTATATCCCCAATGTAGATCTAGTTTTGTGAAATGTGATGCTCCACGGAGTTTGTCTATGAGGTTGGGCACCATGGGTAGTGGATAAGGATCTCGGATTGTTTGTTCGTTGAGTTGGCGGTAATCCTGACATGGTCGCAAAGATCCGTTCTTCTTGTCTATGTAGGAGAAGGGGGAAGCCATCGGAGATTTGCTTGGTCTGATATATCCTTTTTGAAGGTTGTCATTGAGAAATTCTTCCAGTGCCGTGTTTTTTTTTGGTGATAGGGGATAGATTTTGTAATCTTTGGGTCTAAAATCCGGTTTTAGGTTTATGACGTGATTGTAAATCCTTCTTTTGGGTGGTCTTTCAGATGCCTTCTTGTCAAAGACCTGTGCAAATTCTTTATAGACTTCGGGCAGTTCCGTTATCTTTTTCCTGACATTGTTTTGGATGGCTAGCTCCATGGCTGTGTTAGTTTTTGCAAAAATCCGTGTTTCATGTACGTAGTTGATTAATAGTTCTAGTTGATCAATTGTGATGGTGAGAATCATGGACCGGTCAGAATGGGATCGGATTGTGCGAATGGCATGTTGAGTATCCACACTTTTTGATGTCCAGTCTATAGTGGGGTTGACTTTGTGGAGCCACGGGTATCCAAGGAGAATGTCTTCTCCTCCTAGTCCGGTGATGAGGAATTTGCGCATGGTATTCCTCCCTCCTGCTTCTATCCGTTGATAGGTGTAGTGGGTGATCTTTCCTCCCTTGCTGATGGTTCCATCTACATTTTTGCATGTGATGGGCATTTCAAGTTTGTTAAGTGGTAGGCGATGTTTGATTGCAAATTTTGTGTCCATAAAATTGTCTGTTGCCCCTGAGTCTATTAATGCTTTGGTTCCAATGGTTTTTTGTCATAACGTGGTGTCAATTTGTAACAAATTTGATAGTGGCTATAGTTACAATGGCTATTTTGGACCGTACCAACATTGGGGTGGATTGTCCTTTCAAAAACCCTCCTTTTCTAATTTGTTGATGGTGCTGGCGCGATCTGCTTTGCTGAGTTCTCTCCACATTTTGAGGATGTGAGAAATTCCTTTTGCGTCTTCCACCACCGATTCTGTTTTGTCTTTTTCCGCGACTTCTGCTGTGCAAATTTTCTGGTCTGGTTGTTTCCCTTTCTTTTTCTCCGGACAGAACCGTGATATATGTCCTTGTTCTTTGCATATAAAGCATTGTCTTTCTCATTTGAGTGAATCTTCTTTGTCCTTGGTTAAATGCTTTGCCGAGGAAGACTGGCTTCTTCCTCCTTTTTTCTCCTTCTTCTTTTCTCCCTTCTTTCCCCACTTCCTTTCACTGATACTGTTCAAGTTCATCCAGTTGGCGTCTAGGCCAGCGACAGTGCTCATCCATCCTGCAATATTTTTGGGTTGTGTGGAGGAGTTAAGGACATTTTGAAGGAGGTATGGGCATATAGAACTCTTGTACACCATGATTAGTCCTTCGTTGTTTAAGCCGCTTTTTCCTGCTTCTACCATGAAACGGGAGTTGAACTTTGCTGCTGTTTCTCCTGTTTCAATTTTCATTGTCATGAGGGCTGCGCTGGCCGCGCCTTTTACATCTTCCGTGATAAATGTCCCATTAAAGTCGGATTTGAAGTCCGTCCATGTTGGGTATCTGCCTAATCCAGTGTATTCCGTCAATTTGGTTTTTTTTCACTCTAGGGCAGCTCCTTCTTTCATGTGGGAAAGTGCTTCAAAAACTTTCTTTTTATCCAAGCCATAGATGGCATTGTTTATGTCAAAATATGCTTTGGCTGATAGCATCCATCTGTTGGCTTGGTCTGGCATTCCATCAAAATCATCTATCTGTCCAAACTTGGTGGGTTTGGCTGCTGTAGCGTTGGACATGGTGCATGTTGGTGGAATAGGAAATGAGTTGGGAGCTATGGGGAGTATCTGTGGTGTGGGAGGTGGTATTGGTTGGTCTGCCACTGCAAATTCTTCAAAATTGTGTTGGGAGCTACGGGGAGTATCTGTGGTGTGGGAGGTGGTATCGGTTGGTCTGCCGCTGCAAATTCTTCAAAATTGTTTTTGTCGTAGACATCTGATTCAGTTACTGGGGGATTGTGTTGGGTTCTGGGTATTAGCTGTGGGTGGCTTCCTGCGTAATACTGCAGCCAATGTGTTCTAGCTTTGTAGAATGTGTCTGCTTGTTCTCTGGTGTGGACACGAGTGACATCGGGTTGAGGAAAGGGAGGTGGTGCTGCTGTTCTTCCTTGTCTTGACCATACTGGAGGTGTTGCTGTCTGTGTTGGTTCTGCTCTGGTTTGTGCCCTGGTGGTAGGCCTTCTTCCTTGCAACATTTTGTTGTCTTTTTCATCCATTCGCTAATAAGCATGGGATGAGGATATGGAATACAATTGTTTTGTTACGCTTGGAGTGTACAAGCCTGGTAACAAGGGGGTTTCTAGCAACGAAGCTGTTTCGGATAAGCCCATTTATGGACGGGATTGAGACATATTCTGATAATGAACTTCTTAACTGATGAATACCAAGTTGCATTGTTAATGTTACAATACACAATTTCCGGACCTTTAATTTCCATTCTCCTCTTTAACTTTATACTGTAGTTTTCACACACTGTGCCATGCGGCACTTTCCATTTTGTTCAAACTCCACCTTCTCATGCTACGCTGCCTTTATTCTGATTTTAGCTACAAGTCTCTCACACAGTGGAGCTGGTCACATGGGCTGCACCCTCTGACATCATCAGCCACTGATTTTATCAACTGTACAGTACATAAGTACAAACACTCTGTATTAGTATATATACCTCAATAGATCCAGGAGACTCCTCAGTGAGTCCTCCTGTTGTATACCCGCAACTAACTCGGTCCTACCTAAGGGGTAACCACTCCCTCATCACTACCTTTATAGCTTGTCTGAGTTGTGCGCCAGAGTAACTAACTCTTGGTTGTTACATTAGGACTCACTCTTTCTACTCTCTCGCACATTGTGCAAACCCGGTCCCCAGGGTTAAGGGGTTATTATTTGGGAATATCCCGTATAGCAGAAGGGTGCGCTCCTAGCGACGGCCCTGTAGTGCTCTGGGAGAAGAGACAATTATTGATACACGGCCCCCAGTGTTAAGGGGAGTACTTTAGCTCAGCAATAGTGTGGAACTATTGTTGATCAGAAAATTAAATACGCCAGTCTGGAGAAGGGTTGACAGCTTAACAAGCGGACCACCCCCTAACAACTGTTCGGACCAGGGTTTAAATACTATAACTTTTATATACATTCATTTCGAATACTATAGTGTGGGTAGTTGGAGATTGAGATCCGATACTCAGCTGGGAAGAGGAAGATCCGCAGATAGCAAGCGGGGACCCCCAGTTACGTCTTTTTGACTTTACCAAGAAAACAAGTTGACATGTTGTCGCAAAACCAACCCGACGTCAACACTCTGTTGCACAATATGCATGCACAGATTTTGGCGTTGACTATGCAACTTGCCGATCTGGAGGCAAACCCCCCTGCGGCAACCCCCTCGGTTGAGAAGAATGGTGGATCAAACTCCAAATTTGGGTCAAGGCAAACTGGGATGCATTTGCCGATGACTTTGAGGTAGCAACTGCAGTGCTATCTCGACTAAAGGGACCTGTGGCGGGTTGATACGCCCAAGTAAGACTTCAGGAGTGCTACACTGTGTGGCCTACCTGGGACGATCTCAAGGTTGAGATTGAAAAATATTTCAAACCACAGGCTGAGCGTGACTGGGCTCGCCAATAAATCTGTTCCTTCAAACAAGGAAACATGAGGACGGATGATTACGTTACCCAGTTCCTGGCCCTCTCCATCCAAGGAGGGCTTGGCAATGAACATGCAGTAGAACTGCTGGAGCGCAATGTGAACCCTTGCATTGCAGAACAGATCTACTTGCAGGATACAAGAAGTGAGAACCTGGTTCTGGCGGCTGAAGAAGTACAATGAGTCGGTAGAGCCATGGAGCTCTACGCTATGCACCAAGGTGGCGGGTCCACCAACAAAAATAACTTTTCCCAGAGGAGCCCTGGGTTATCAAACCAAAAACAAAATCACTCTCGTGGGTTCCAACCATTCGGGTTGCAGCCAGGGCAGGAGGGGCACATAGCCCAAAAGTGTCCAAACGGAGCGCAAACTGCTCAACAAAAAAATAACCAAGGGTGCCAGGTGCACCAATTAGAAACAGAGAAACCAGATGATTGGCTCAATACTCTGGCCGGTCGTTCGTACAATGAAATCCGGGCCTTCTTTTACGACCAGCAGGTCACTGAAATGAAGACTGAGGGAAAAGAGTTCGGAGCTTAGGTCACTTGGGTGCCTTTGCTCCTATAAACAATGAAGTAAACCACAACAAGGTGGCCCCTGCTCCGGGGTGTTGCACAAGCAATAACGGAAAGAAGGGGATAGCTCCCCAATTTGTAAATAGATTTTTAAATTTGTTATCAGAAGTATGTACTTGTATGAAGCATTGCAATTGTAATATTTATGATACTACCGCTGCACCAGTGTCTCCCTTGGAGCGAGACAAACACTGAGTGCTTGATTCTGGTAAAAATAAAAATAAAAATATAGAAAATCCTAAAATAGAAAAACATGTTCCTTTGATACTTCTCCCTCTTCTTCTTTGGAGCCACTTTCCACAGAAATCCCAAGGCATGTGTTGATGCGCACATATTTATTCCAAAATGAGATCTGTTTAAATGTTGATGTGAAAAACCTTGCCCAGGGCATAGTACACCCAACCAGCGCGCTGCTTGATTCAGGCGCTTATGGCATCTTCATAGATTAGGTCTGTGCGGAGCAAATCCGACTCCCCCTTGTAAAATTAGATGTATCTATTCCTGTCTACAATGTTGACGGTATGCTTAACGCGGGTGGCTGCATCACGCACAAATGTTCTTTTGTTGTCGAGTATCAAGGACACAGAGAATGAGTCACCGCCGAAGCTACCCAACTAGGGAAGATTAATTTAATCTTGGGCTGGATTTGGCTATTTAAACACAATCTTGAGATCAACTCGCAGACAGGGGTTGTCACATTGTCACGTTGTCCTCAGGAGTGTGAAAACATGGGTAAACCGAGTCGTGTCCGTCGAACTGAGCGTCTTGAAAAGATAAATACTGGTCATATTTATGAGCTCAGATTTTTAGAAAGGATTGACAATGACAATGACGAGGTAAAACCCAAGGAAGGGATTAAGAGGCTGGTACCTCCCGGGTACCATGACTTTTGGAAAGTCTTTTCAAAACATAAGTCAGAGCGCTTTCCAGAGGCTAAGCCTTCGGACCATGCTATAGATTTTAAGGACACCTTCAAACTGAGAAAAGGACACATGATACCACTCTCTGCTCCAGGAAGAGATGAGGTATCAAGTTTCATAGATGAACAGCTTAGGAAAGGTTACATCAGACCTTCCAAAAGCCCTATGACGTCCCCGGTGTTCTTCATTCCTAAAAAGGATGGTAAAAAGTGTATGATTATGGACTATTGTTACCTGAATAAGTACACAGTTAAAAATGCATATCCGCTGCCTTTGATTAGTCAGCTAGTAGACAAGTTGGCTGGTGCCAAGATCTTAACAAAGATGGATCTCCGATGGTGGTACAACAATGTACGAATCAAAGAAGAAGATGCTTGGAAGGCCGCATTCATGTGCCACTGAGGATCCTTTGAGCCCCTCGTTATGTTCTTTGGGTTGACCAATTCACCGGCAACCTTCCAAAGCATGATGAACAAGATCTTTGCGGATATGGAAGACTGTGTTGTCATTTACATTGACAATTTATCAATATTCACAAAGTCGGACGATCAGGCTGAGCATGACAGGATCGTGCAAGAAGTCCTTTGATGCTTACAGGAATGGGACCTATTTGTCAAACCCAAAAAATGTAACTTTAAAGTGAAGGAAGTAGACTTCCTTAGTATGATAATAGGCCAGAACGGAATCAGGATGGATCCTGAGAAAGTTCAAGCTATTTTGAGTTGGCCTGAACCTACTCGCGTCAAAGGATTTAGGGCCTTCCTTGGCTTAGGTAATTTCTACCAAAGGTTTATTGAAAACTTTGCGAAGATAACGAGACCGTTGAACAATCTCACTAAAAAGGACATTATTTGGCACTGGGGCACCAAAGAACAAGAAGCTTTTGATAAGCTTAAACAGGTATTTACAACAGCATCCATATTAGTGTTTCCAGAATTAGACAAAGAGTTCCGGCTAGAAACTGACTCTTCTAATTTTGCTACTGGGGCCGTTCTGTTAACTAAATGCCCTAATAATCTTTGGAGGCCTTTTGCCTATTTATTGCATAGTTTGTCGCTTACAGAGCACAACTATCAAATTTACGATAAAGAGATGCTGGCCATCATTAGAGCTTTAGAGCACTGGCGGCACTACTTAGAAGGTGCTAGGCACCAATTTGAAATCTGGACTGATCATAAAAATCTGGAGTATTTTATGACGGCCCGAGACTTGAACTGAAGACAGGCCCGCTATGCGGTGTACTTGTCTACGTTTAATTATAAACTAATTCATAAGCCTGGTGCTTCTATGGGAAAAGCGGATGCTTTATCCAGAAGAGAGGATCATGTCAATGGCATTGAAGATGACAACAAAGGTGTCACCCTGATAGATCAATCCAGGGTGGCCAATGTTCGAATCAGGCAAGATTCTAAACTTCTAGAAGTTTTCAGGGAAGACCTCTCCTCAGAAGAGAAGGCACACCTTGATGGCAATTTACATTATTTATGGGAAGACGGGCTCTTCCATTACAAAAACAAAATCTATGTGCCTGAGTCAGCAAAGATCAAGGCAATAGACAGACATCACAACACTCTAGTGGCTGGGCACCCTAGGTGGCAATGAACCATGGAGTTGATCTCCAGAAATTACATGTGGCCTGGCATGGTCAAAGACATACAGGAATACATAAAATCCTGTCTGAGATGTGCCATGGCAAAGAACTCACATCAACCACCGGCCGGAAAACTTATGCGTAATCCAATACCAGCTGGTCCCTGGCAAGATATGTTGGTTGAATTTACAACAGATCTGCCCGAATCAAATGGGTATGATTCAGTAATGGTGGTAGTAGATTGCTTCTCCAAAGAAGTGGTATTCATTCCCACCAATAAAACAATTACAGCTGCTGGCACTGTAACGACCAAGAGTTTCTTACTCTGGCGCATAACTCAAACAAGCAAGAGAGAAAGAGAGAAGAAGGGATCACCCTTTAGGTTTCAACAAGTCTGTTGTGCTAGACAACAGGAGGACTCGCTGAGTCCTTCCCCATGTATTGCTCCTGTATATATACTAAAATACATGAGGTACTGTACAGTTGTAAATAAAGTTTAAAGTCCGATGTCTAGCATGTGACCGGTCACATGATGAGTCTAGACACTGGTCAGGTGATGTGTCACATGATGGTCATGTGACTATGAAAAGTCCGAAAATGTAAAGTAAAGTAAATGGTCACATGATCAGTCATGTGACTTGGAGAATGAAAAGTAAAAGTACAAAAAGTGAAGCGTAAGTAGGTACTGATATGTCAATTGTAACAGGTATGGCAGACTTATTTAAAGATTCTGTATGGTCTACCCATGGGTTACCAGAAATGGTTATCTCCGATAGGGGACCCCAATTTTCTAGCAAATTTACGAAAGAGTTATGTCGGTGTCATGCACCAAAGTTGATTGGTAGCATGGACAGGTGTCAATAACAAAGCAAATATTCAAAAAGACTCGCCTTTGTGCCACACAGGCACAGTGCCACATGGAATAGTAACTAATATTGCCTTTTTTGAACTTGTGGCTGATCAGCACCACCTCTGTTAGGCAATCCAGTCACGCTCACCTTTGCTTTTCCATCCGGTACTTTCCGCGTTTCGGCATTTTGGCAACTTTTTGCGTCGCCACTGGCTACACATTGCATTGCGCCCTCGCTTTTGTCGTTTCCTTCACTTCCCTTCCTTTGCCTAGCCCCACCATGGGTCCCTTACTCTCGTTCTTATTCTCATCCGACGGTTGTTTCTGGATCCCCATTTTAGTTCACCTCCTCATCACCTCCAGCCTCCTCCTCCTTATCTTTGCTCCCCCACCATTTCTGATGTCACCACTTCCTATCCGCTTCCATCGCTGATCCGTCGACTACCACGTGCCACTGCTGATATCAGCAAAGCCCCGGCGGCCGGTTCAAATAGGGCAACAGGTCCATCTTCATGACGTCGATCTGCCATCATATACTATCAAAACATCGGTCGCTGGTCTTGCCTGGTTGGAGCGTGGGTGGGTAGTTTTTGAGCTGGAGAAGGTTCATCCCCTTGCGTCGCCCATGTTCATTGCTGTCCCATTCACTTGGGTACACTTATCTTTTGTCCATCGTCTTCGCTACAGCTACACCTACCACACGCTGCCTGGGACTCACTTGTTCCAAATTGGGACCACTCCTCTCCCTCCCTCGTTTGACCAGGTGGTCCAACACAACTAGTCCATTGGTAAGGCCATGGAACTGTCGGATTTGGACTAGGTGGTGGACCAGTGGCTCCAGTTTCTTTTTCTTCAGCAGAACATTCATTTACAGTGCAATTATTTTTGATTTTTGAATCATTTTTATGGACACATATTTTTTAGAATGCCTGACTGACAATAAAGGAACTGTGTTGATACTGATAGTGTTTTGCCTTGCCTTTTTTTACTGCATCTTCCCATGACATCATGATTTTCCTGCTCTCTTTTTGCTATTGGACTTTACTTTATGGCTGTACAAACCTGTGACATTACTCACAGCATTCATTGTTCTATCCCTTTCTTTTCCTTATTTTGACAATCTTATCCTGTACTACCTACGCAGGATTTGTCAGCATACATTCCTTCCTTCATGTTCTTTCTCATTCTTTTTGCACAGCTATACTGTGTATAGCCTACTTTTCTTTTACTATATAAACCCCTGTATTTTACCTTGTAAAAACAACAAGATCTCGATTCCAGACTTCTTCTCTAATCTTAAGTCCACTTCTTACTGCTACTTGTGATCCAGTGTGGTCACAACACTTCCCACTGCTACCACTGTTAATTGCTGTCATTGTCACTTCCCACTTCTGAAGTCATTGTTATCCCTTTTGATTAGAGTCCTTCTGAGCACTACAGTTTGTGCGTCAGGAGCCTGCTATCACTGGGAACCTCATCACCTCATCATCCTCGTCGTTCTCAACCCTACTTTGTGCTACAATTAGCAAGGTAGTGCCCGTCTATACTCGCCACAAAGCCCCTATCTTTCTATATTCCAACTATCCCTCCTCCTCAAAACCCAC